TTTTCCAGATGATTAATCTCGGGGTTGGGAAGATTTGTTTGCCCTGGGTCACCATAAAATCCCCAGAGAGCAACCAGCATTTGGACCCAGGCAGGCAGAGAGCAGAGCTCGTAACCTTAACCCCACCCTGACCCTCCCCTGTGCAGAAGGACCCGGCCACTGACAAGACCCTGCAAAGGGCGGCCGTCATTCTTCCCACTGGTGTCCTTACTGGCTTCACAATCCAGAGAAGTCACGTTTGAAGCCGGGCATGAAGCGTCTGGTCGGTGTCCTGGAAGGGCTTTAATTCCTCCCACCTCCTCCTCTGCTGGGACTAAGGAGGGCAGGTGGGTTTGCCGAGGAGCCCTGAGATGTGAAATGAATCAGAAAGCAAACGAGGAAGGGGAGGTTAACGTGTTTGGGTCCCTCTGTGCCTGGGGGTCATCCATGCAGGAAGTGAGTCGAGTCTACAGATTTCCTGTGGGGTTGGGGGTGTCGGCTGGCCGTGTGACAGGGCGGCCGTTGGGAAGGGATGTGCGGGGAGGTGTAGCTAAGACACTTTGGACCAGCACAGTATCTCTCCCAGGTTTGTCACCATTCAAAGCCTCTGTCCCACTGGCTGTGTAGCCTGAGTACGATCACTTCCTTCTCTGAGCCCCATTTTCTCTATCAATGTAACAAATACATTAGAGCTGAGAAAGAACAGGGCTGGCTTTCTTCAGAACTGCCTATCCACCAAGCCCTTGCACTGTTCAGCACCTCTTGGTACTGTTTGCACATTACAGTTACTCGGGGTGTTTCTTTAAAATGTCAATGCCCAGGCCTGCCCCAAACCAATTGAAAAAAAAATAGCAGGAGATTGGGTTCAGTCATTAATATTCTTCAAGACTCCCCAGATGACTCGAACTAGTAGTTGCTGTACATTATCCTTTGAGCAGTGCCCATGGGTGGCAAGGGTAAGTAGTCCAATTTTACTGCTAAGAAACTGAAGCCCGGATCAGTGGGAAATGATCTGCCTGAGGTCACAAGGGTGGTTGGTAGGTCAGGGAGAAGACCCAGCGGCCTCTGTCCAGGGTGCTGAAACAAGGGGTCTCAGGACTCTGGCCTGCCGCCGGCACGTGCCCCGGGCTCTCAGTCCCTCTTCCTCACAAAGATTGCTTTTCCCATAAAGGGTATGTGTCTCTCGTTTCCTTTCTACCTTTCTTTCTCTGCATCATTGTCTCTTTTTCTCACCCTCCATCTCTCTTTCCCTAGATCAATTCCTTCTTTCTTTTCTTCCTACCTCTCTCTCCTTCTCACTTTCTCTCCATCTCTCCATTTATTTATCTTTGTGTCCATTTCTCTTTTCCCTCTTTCTATCTCTCTACATGTCTCTTCTCTCTCTTTTTCTTCTTCCATCTATCTGATTCTCCCTCCTCCTCTCCCTCTCTCCCTGCCCCAATCTCCATTTTCCCAGCTGCCCCCGCAGGACCCCCGGCTTGAGTTTCTTCCCCAGCTAGCCACTTTTCCTCTGGCTGCCTCCTCGAGGGCGAACACTGACCTCCAGCCTAAGTGCTCATTTCCTTTCCTTGACCATCCCTTTGGAGACATTCAGTTTCTCCCTGTCACCCAAAGTGTGGATTCAGAACCAGAGATGTCCCTTCCTTTACTCTCCCACTGTATAGAAACCCTAAATTCCCACCACTGGGGGAGGTAGCTTTCCATAATCCAGTGGGGCAATGACCCCATAGCATCTGTCCCCTGCCCCCACAAAGTGAGGCATATGCCTTCAACCAAAACACCTTATGCTGAGTACCTAATATGTGCTACATTCTGGGAACACTGCAGTAATGAAGGTGGCCTAATTTCTTAACCCTTCTTTCCGGTGAGGGAGACAGAAAACAAGAAAAGTATCTTGACACTGATTTAAGTTCTTTGACATCGAGATAATAACCAAGATGTTGGGGCAGGATGACTTGGGCTGAAGTGGGGCTGCTTTAGGTTGAAAGATCAAGGAAGGTATTGCTGAAGAACTGACATTTAAACTAAGACCTGAAAGATGAGAAGGAATCAGCCATGCAAAGAGCCAGCGGACAAGGATTTGAAATGGAGGACACAAGTGCAAAGGCCCCGAGGCTTGAAAGAACCTGATGTAGTCCGATAGCAGAAAGAAGTTTCATGTAACTGGAATATGGAGAGCAAGTCAGGAGAGGAGGTTGGGGATGACAGGGACCAGACTCTGAACGCCCTTGGAAGCTGCAAAGCAGAACTTGTATTTTACTCTTAATATCATGGGTTTGAGGCTGAGGCATGCCAGTCATCTGATTGGCATGGTCACTTGTCCCTGCGTGCAATGAAGTGGACAAGAGTCAATTCATAGATGGGACTTAGACCAGAAGCTCTTTAAAAGGTAAAATCTTCTTCCTTCTCCTTCCCATCCTCAACCCCAGGGCTTCCTCAGTTCTAACCCACCTAACCCCTGTCACACAGCCCAAATATAAGGTCCTTCTTCAGAAATGATCGCTATCATTGTCGCTGTCATCATCACCACCACCGTGATCACCATTAGCATTATTTCTGGATGGCTCTAACTGACGTAAGGAGGAAAGCAAGACAAGGATTTAAAAAGCATCCTTTTCAGTCTCATTCAGTGTTTTCACCATAGGAGTCAGGACAATGGATGAATTCCGTAAGCATTTACAGAATGCCTACTGTATGCAATACAGAGGTTAACAGGTCCCTGAAGTGGCTAAAATGAATACTACTATCAATAACTTCTAACATTTATTGAGCATTTGCTGAGGGTCAGTCCGCTTGCTAAGGGCTTTACATTAATTATCTTCTTACATCCTTAAATAATCCTGTCAGTCTTTCCACTTTTCATCTGAGTAAATTGAGGCACGAAACTGAAGCAATCATTCAGCAAGTTGAAATCTGCCTACTCGATCCCTGTCCTTGAGACAATTGTTTCCTGCTCTGTTTCCCCCCTGATCCCCTACAATGATGTACCAATGTATTAGTGTTACCATAGAGGGAGCATATAGTTTTGCACAGGGGCTCAGAAATCAGCTTGTCCAAGAGGGTTCCAATCCTAGCACTTCTAGTCTATTTATACTTGGCTTCTCTGAAACTGCTTTATCATCTGGGGGAAAAAGTATATACTTGCTCAACAAATGGTGACTCGTGTGGTTGTAATAGTGGTTTTAGAATTCATATCCAATAGCAGTGGCCTTTGTGGGTAACTTCTTAAGCCCAAGGACTGACCTAATTAGTGGTGGAATGTCAGGTACATTGTCAAGAAGAAAGGTCGTATATTTTTTAGTGAAAAACTAAAGATTGAAAACGTGGCTGATCTAGGGGTAGAAGATTTTAACAAGGACAATCTGTCCATCTGGCCTGAGATAAGTAGCCGTCCTTCTCCTTAGAGAGATTAAAAGGGAACCTCCCCACCCAAACCCAGCACTAACAATCCTCCCCCAAAGACCATCCCTCAGAGCTACAAGCTATTTCATTTCTTCTCAAATGCATGACTAATAAGCTCTTCATCGAAGGCAGTATTCAATTGTGTTGTGGAATTAAAGGAGTGGGCTCACACACCATGTATCACCCCAGCTGCTCTTATAAGCAGAAGATCAATAGTCAAGCAATAGACTTTTCATAATTAAAAGAAGACGAAGATAAAGAGGGGAAAGAAAAGCAAAGACCCTGGCAGATGGTCCTGCATTTTCCTTAGCTTTTTGGTTCTCAGTGCTTTGGGGGATTTGCCAGAACAATGAGTCCTGGTTGGAGCTGTCCCAAAAGGCTGGCTGGGAAGGGACTTCAGTTAAGTCACATGGTCTGACCCCTGCCTTCAGACTGGCAAAGGATAAGTACTGCTAGTTTTAGACTGGCAGAAGGGCCTTTAAGACCCCTCTCATGCCTTTCTGCATAATCCAAAGCTGGCTGGAATGGACATCGGTTCCTATTCCCTCCCAAGCAGCCACATCTCCAACTTCAAATTAAACTTAACAGATTCCCTTCTGGGAAAATCTCCACCTCAGGGTCATTTGGTTCAGCATGCGATGCATTTGACCTCCACAATCCTGAGAGGGTCATGCAGGTCAGATCTAGCCAGTAAAAGCATCCCATTCATTCTCAAGGCCATAACGGTTGGCTGATGGATGCACATGTGACCCAAGGTAAGCCAATCAGGGTCAACTCTGGGACTTACCCTGGAGTTGCTCCTCTTTTAGCTGCAATTCCCAGGCTTTACCACCAAAACCTGAAACTGCTAGGGCCTATCTTGTCATCATGGGGAAAATGCCTACTATACAGATGAAGCCTGCATACCAGAGAACAAAACTATGAGATGGAGATGTGGAAAGAGATAGAGACAGGAACCAACCACATCCTGGTGAAACGACTGGGTCTCTGAATTCAGCCACGCATGAATCCAGGTTAGACTTTTAGTTAAGAGAACCCAAACATTTCCCTTTTGCCTAAATTATTTTGAATGGAGCTTTCTTCTCTGCAAGTTAAAAGAGTCCTTACAAATCCATTAGTTTTTTTCTGGGCCCATCCAACCACTAAACAAATTGCTTAATGTAAAGGAAAAAGTGCAGATGCAGCTCAATTCAAAGTCCAACTATCTAGCTGTGTGATCTTGGGCTAATTGCCTAAGCATTTTGAAGCTCAGCTCCCTCATCTGTAAAATGGGTATAGTGCCATCATCAAAGGGTTGTTGTGAGGATTAAATAAGAGTATATAATTCTTGGGAGTGTGAATTATGGCTCAGTCCTTCCTCTCACCTAGGGGGTGTCACTCTGCTGTGAAAAAGAATGAAGCTGTCATTGCAAAGACCCACCATGTACTATCACCACCATTTGCAGGAGCAAACAGGATCTGCTGGAATATTCTTGTGTGCAGAAAAGATGTATGGTAATGCCACCTAAGCTGCAAAACAAAAATTCATAAAGCTTAAGCTTAATTGAGATAACAGTTTTCTTTAAGTAAAGGATTAACAGAAGGGAATAATGATGCTTTGAAGATAAAATAGCATGTGTTACACATCCAAGTGGCACCATCCACTTGACTTGTATTATCTTAGGTAATTTTCACAATTCTATGGGGAAACACGTTCAGAGAGGTGCAGTAATTGGACTAAGGTCACACAGCTGGCAAGCCCGACTCCACAGTCCAGACTGAAAGGCACTGAGTCGTACCAGTTCCTAATGATAATGCCTGGGTCTTGGATGCTGACCATGTACTAGGCATTAAGCAAGCCTCTCTATGCATCTTCCCATTGAATCATCTCAGGATACTTTTGAGAAAAGCTTGGGATCCAATTTACAGGAAAAAAACAGCGGGTCTCAATGTCAAGTATGCTGAAAGAGAGAAACAAAGATCTCACTGCTCAGTTTGGTATAAGTTGTAACTTTTATGTTATATGTATTTACCACAATTAAAAAATGGCAAGAAAACCCATAATTTTTTTTAAAGCACATACGCACATCTCCTTTGACCCATTGTTAGAAGGGGAACTAGGGGAAGTCACTCTGATATCCTTAAAATGGGAAAAATGGATAGGTCTATCAATGTAACAAAGATTTTAAAATATGATACATACATGTATAAGAAGCTATTTCATTGTCTTAAAAAAGCTATGCTGTTTGTATTCATTATAAAGATATCCAAATTATTAGTAAATGAGAGAAGACACAAAACAACAACAAAATACAACAAAAAGCAAAACACCTCGGTGGTCCATTGTCTCCTCCTCTCTTCCAGCCTCACGCCTGCTCCTCTCCGCCATGCTTCTGGGCCCGGGAGCCTCCCCCTACCTCAGCTTTGGGCTTCACTCATCCATCCCCTGTGCTGAGAACGCTCTCCTCCGCATTCCAGAAGGCAGTACTAATCCATGGCGCCTCTCCCCTCTGGTCGTGATGAGTTGTCCCAGAGCAGAGACCTGTGTGCCCTGGACCCAGCCCCAGCCGGGCACAGAGGAGGGAGTGGTGGACGTGCACTGGGTATCCCGTGTGTGCTGGTGGGGACAGAGACTAGAGTTAGTGACTTTGACCTTGAGTCCTTTGCTTGGCCATCTGCCCCCACCCCCTGTGAATTCATGTGAGATGGGGGGCTTCCAGGGATGGGAGGGGCATCTTTCAGGCATCTCCTTGGTTGCCATGCTGTCATTTCACTCAGATATGTTTTCTTTTCAACTGTATTGTCATCCTCTTACCATCCCATTTTACACATAAGAAAACTGAGGCTATGGGAGAGGGGAATTCACTCAGTCAAGGTTGCTGGTGGCTTGTTGTTGGGTTCAGGGTACAAATCTAGGTGGAAAGGGAAGCGAGATGGAGCAGCAGGTGCCACATCACGCCCCATAGCACTGAGACTTAGCGCCGTGGTGGAGTTCTTACCTCTGATCTATAATGTGTCACTCAGGCTACGCCGGTAAATGAGGACTAGCCATTGGCAAACTGACCCACGCACTACTCCTCACTAACCACTGAAAGGGATGCTCGTTTGTTCAGAAGCCCGTGGGCTGTCCCGAGAGCTGTCACCCTGAGACAATATTGACAGAGCCTGGGCCCCCACCTCGGAAAGCCCCAGTGTACACACATGGGAAAGCAGGCCCATCCTCTCGCACTGAGAGGATAAGTGTAAGGAATTAAGGAGACTGATAAAACAAACAGATGTTTTTAGTCGGCAGTAGAAGTGTCAACATGATCCTAATTAATGAATGTGTTAATGGCTGTTCTCTGTTTGAAGACAATAGTTGCCGCCTTCTAGATGTATCCACAGTGAGTCACAGGGCACACACATGGATGCAGGCACGGAGGCTGCCTGGGGCAGGCGTGCAAACCCATGCGCCCACAGGCAGCACCAAGGAGCGTGCCCTGTGCACAGCAGGGACACACAATGGCACGGAGTCACACACAGGGAACGTGCACCGATCCTACAGGGAGCGTGTAGGACACTTGGGACATAGAGGATATCAGAACACACGTGTGGATACATTTTCACAGCTTACACACACAATGCACTCACAACATGCCACAGCACACCAAAACACACACACAGCAAACAAAACACGTTCCACACCATCTGTACCACCCCTGCAACACACAACGTGCAGAGTGCCCGTATCACCCACACACAATACCCTCACAAAACACACCACCCACACAACACATATGCATGGTCGTGCAGCACACACTCAACATGCACACCCTACAGGCATAACACATGGTAATACACACATGCATGACACATGCTATCCCAGAATAGAGCTCAGGTTTCCCAGAGCACTAGGCTGACATGCTTAGCACACACCCTCCAACACATACTATTAGTGGTAATACTGGGTATTCCCACCATATACCGGAGTCTATGCTAAGATATAAAAACACAGATATGAAGCAGGAAAATCTCTTTCACCCAGGCTATCTCAGGCCTACAGAGAAGACTGAGTACATGTGAGATGCATCTAGAGAATTTCTGAACACCATTATATGTTTGTGTCTACACATATTTTAAGGTGTTTAAACAATAGAGGACATGGGAAAGGGCTTGATATGCAGGAAAAGCCTCATTCTTCCCATCTGTAATTAGGGGTACTAATTATTCCATTCTGGGGTTGTTGAAAGAGCGCCGCAGTTTGCAACCTGTGTGTCATTTTTCCCAATGACCAGCCCATAGAAGGGGCTACATAAACTGCAGCCACTGTTATTACTGTCACTGTTGTTTCCAAGGGGCTGGAAGAGTCAGGGAACAGGCTGCTATACCAGCCAGGAGACAAGTGATTTGGGAATGCTGTAGTAGAGGCCGTAGAGAGAGGGACAGCTGTGAGGGAGATTAAGGAAATTCACGCGGAATATATGTACGTCTGGTACGTATGGCACTTTGGCAAAGACAGAGCTGGGGTGGATGCACTTCTCCCCAGAAAGATGCGAACGGCATTTGGCATCCCTTGTGCAAGCCAGGAGCAGTCCTGTGTGTGTGTCTGTGTGTTTCATGCAAATGTGGGCTGTGTAGATGTAAATTGCACACAGTTTGGCTCAGAGACTCAGGGGCAGAGAGAGGGGCGGGTACCCCTGAAGAAGGAACTGGGCAGAGGGTGACCTGCAAGGCTGGAGCATAGACCTGAGACCTCTTTTCTACTATGGGCCTAACGTGGACGCTTGGCCTCAGAGGACTTGTCTGTACAATGGGGCTGCGATCACTTTAACTGCCTTGACTCTGCGGAGGGACTGGATCTACTTTTGAGGTCCTATGTGGCTCCAAGATCCTAGGCCAGTGAAGGGGGAGGGTGTGTCCAAACAGGAGGGGGAAATAACGGTGAAGTTCTGAGAAGGGATTCTGCCTCCTCAAAGTCAGGGGAGGTGACTGAACAGGAGGGTAGATATTCAAGTTCTCAAGGACACCAAGAAGAAGAAAGGATGAATTCTAAGATGATCAGAAAGACCCAGAGCTGGCAAGATCCCTAAGCAGGCCTTTCCTCTCAGATCATAAGCGACATTCCTGCCCATGTCTCCTTCCTGAGCCCCCTTTGTCCCCAGCAGCACCCACACCACACACCCCCAGACACACACAGTATTAGTCGCCTGCAGTGGACATGATCACAGAGGACCCCAGGAGAGGACCAGAGACGGCACCCCCTCCCCAGGATGCTTCTCCCAAGAAAGGAGCCTATATTAAGCCCCTTAATGGTCCCAAAATGAATGACCAGCATCAAACTCAAGAAAGCTAGTCAGGAAGCTGAGCAATGAGATGAAAAGATCCTGGACCCCAGCACCCTCCTGGCCTGGGTGGCTCGTGGTTTTAGCTTGTGCAGGCCATAAGCCCCTGGGCAGGGGACTTCATCTCTTGGGGCCTTGATCTCCCTGCCTGTGAAATGGGGCTGACAATAGAACCTACCTCCCAGGATGGACGTGAGGATCGAGAGCCGTAACTCTTGCCAAGTGCCCGCCTCAGTGTGGGGCAGAGACTGAGTCCTGGAGCTGTCATTTGCTGCCCCTCCTTTGGGGGCTGGAGGGAACACGATTGCATTCAACTGCCTTTGGCCACGCCTTTGAGTTTATAGAGAGCCCTCCCTTCCTTTAGCCAAAACACACCCAAACATTTTGTTTTCCAAAACAGTTGTCTCCAGCTGCCTGTCCGCTTACGTAATGATTTAGGAGAAAATCAAAATAAAACGTGGGAAGCTGTAAGCTCTGACACTATGTTTTTTTTCTTGGTACACTCTGATTATGTGTAAACAGCAAATTACACATTATTTCCTCTTTATCTGTCAACTCCTCAAGCCACCTCAGGTCCTCTCAGAATGAGTAACTGGCCCTGGGACCCTGCCTGACGATTGGCTTTGGTGGGTGCCAGGGAGTCTCCTTCCAGTTCCTGGGAATTCCCAGAGAGAGAGTAGGGGGTCGGGGGAGGACAGACCTACATGACCCGGGGGTACTTTGCCCCCTCCCTGGGCTCTCCTTTGGGGAGAGGGATGACAGGGAAGAGCACAGACACGTGATTCAAAGAGAAACTGGTTGAAAAGCCCAACTGGGTGGATCCTTGAGGACACAGGCTGACTCAGATTCTCTGTTGGTTCCTATTTCACAGGACAGAAAACACCTCTTTTCAGGATCCCCCAAAACTTGCACCCCCAGATTCTAACCTTAGAACCTTGTGAAATTCAAGTATTGGGAGGACATAGATTATGAAGGGTCATAGCTGCAAATTTCCATCTCCAGGGAGTTTTGCAAACTTGGGTTCAAAATTTGGCTCTGCCACTGAAAGAGCTGTGAAACACTGGGCTAGAGACCTGACTTCCCTGAGCCTCTGTTTCTTCATCTTTGAAATGGGCACAGTAATGACGCTACCCTGGAAGCTTGGGAGCATGAGATCTTGTTTGCAAACAGGATGGCAACTTGCACAAAGTACCTCTGTAAGAATCAGGGAAAGGCATCCTCTCCTCCCCACAGAGCTAATAGAGAACAGCACCTGCTTCCTCCAGATGGATGCAACCTTACCTCAGGGGCTGGTGAACCACCTGCAGATGAGTTCAGCATCCACCTGCCCTTTAGCTGGAAGCTCTTCTGCAGTACACAGCCTGTACAACTGTACCCGGCAGCCCTGCATGTAAAGCAATCAGTGTGAGCCAGGTTCGAGGTAAACACCCCCTCTCTGGCAGCAGCTCTGGTCACTGTCACCATATATTATCATTTGACTGATCTTGACTCTTAAATCCATGAAGAGCTAAGCCCTTTAAAACTTTGTCATCTCCTTATGGTAAGGAGAATCCAGGTTCAAATCCCATTTCCACCACGTCCTAGCCATGTGTCCATGCAGAAGTTGCTTACCCATCTGAACCTCACCACCTTCATCTGTAACATGGGAAACAGTCATCCCCACCTCGTGGCAAGGCTCTGGTTAAATAACAAGGATCTAAGTTACCTGCAGTCCATGGCTGACACATGCTGGGTGCTCATTTAACATTGGTTTCCTTTGCAGCAGGGAAAAGGAGACCTCCCCACCGTTATTTGGTTCTCTTGAGCACAAGCATCCATGGAGAACGTGTTCAGGAGGTGAAAAAAAACAAGCAGCAAACCGTTTTAGGGAAGATGTTCAGCATGCTGAGGTATAACCCGTTTGCAGGCAAAGAACGTCAAGTTTGGAATCAGCAGACTGGAGGCCTCGTCCCTGAGTCCTCCTGCCCCCCCCAACTCATCTTGTGATTTTGGATAAGCCACGGGCTCTCTGAGACTTGGTTTCCCTTTCTGTGAAATCAGGGGAAGAAGAAATGAGGGTTATTGCCTATTTGTGTACAGCTATGGTGCCTTTCATTCCAAACAAACCTATGCAAGCACAGTAGACAAAGCAGGTAAAAGCGGAGAAGCTCTGAAGGGAGCGAGGCCCAAGGAGGGCTGCCAGTGATCCAACATGCTCCTCACCCTGTGGCAGCCTCTGAGGCTATTGTGAGGAAGTCCAGGGCTCCAGGAACACAGTGGGGCAGCCACTGGACTCAGATCCTTCTTACTAAAATATTCTAAAGCTCTGCCTGTGCTTTGACATCCACTGCTTGCCACTCAATTCAGCCTGAACTGAAGTGTGTGTGTGTGTTCATCTGTGTACCATCAACAAACGCTCAGAAAGAAAGCAAAAAAAAAAGTTTCACCAGCCATTAAGGGGAAATTACAAATGCATTTTTCTCTGCTTCCGGCACATTAATAAAAGAGATCACAAAACTGGAAGCGAGTTGTAGCAGGGCAGCCTCACAACAGTTGGAAGGGGTGGGGGACGACTTCCTGTACAGTCATGTGATTGCATGGTCGTTTCCATGCTGAGAGAGTCCGTCTGCAGTGACGCTGGGAGGATGCAGAGCTCATGCATTAAACTTCAGTGGGACCCTCACAACATACCCTGGGGGGCAGGAGAAGACAGGGAGGAGGACAGGCTGGGTGGGGAGGGACACACTTGTGACATGCCCCAGCATGGTGGTGCCTGTGGGCAGACCCCAGAGATTGTTTAATGTGGGCTCCAGAAAAATCACTGAAAATTATAGTGTGAGAGATGAAGGAGGGCACACAAGGAAGAAAGTGAAAAGTTGTTGCAGAGTCTTGACCACGGGAGGGTCACCACAGCCACTCTGGTGGTCTCAGAAGTCACAGCAAGTGTTTGCTATGTACCGCGGGCTCTGAGCTAGATGCGGGGAGTAGGCTGAATTACTGGCCCGGATCCTTCACTTCTTGTATTCATGCCTTTTGCCATAGGATTTTGCAGCCGCTCCTCCTAGAGGGTACATCTCTGCCCACTGACTTTGAGTTTGATCACGTGCCTACCTTTGACCAATGACACTTGAATGGAAGGGCCAAGGTGCTCCTTCTGGGATAAGACCTTAAAAAACTTTGCGTGTGTCCACTTTTTTTCTTGAACTTATGCCCTTGCCATGAGAGGAACATGTTCTGACTACACTGCTGGTTCACAGAAGATGGCAGACCTCTGGAGCTGAGCCAGACACAATTGGCAACTCACAGCTGTCCTGGCTGATTCACAGAATAAAGTTAATGAGAAATAAAGCCTTTGTTATATGCAAATCAGAGTTAGTAGCTCTTCGTTATGCAGCAACAGCTGACTGATACAGTTATACAAAAAGCACATTATATTAGAAGCACATTTATTCATTTTATTCACATATTCATTCATTCATTCAGTAACTATTTCCTAAGCATTTCCATGCCAGACATTTTGGTAGGCAGCAGGGATAGATGGTCAATAACAAATCTGTGAAAATGAGCAGAGAGTTCAGATTTATTAATTCAAGGATTGAGCATTTACTATGCACCAGGATTGGAAATAAGTACTTCAATTACAGTGGCAAACACAATATCTAAGGTGCCTGAACTCATGAGGCTTGCAAGCAGCAGATTAAGCAAAAACAGAACAGAACATTTCCAAAAACTCTGATGAAGAAGGTTGACTCTTCTTTAAACTGGTTACTATCCAGTGGAAAGTCAGTGGACCATTATGATGCGATGGGTTAAACACTGGAATGAGGGCCCTGTCGGTCACTCAGAGGGAGTATCCCATGCATCCTGGAGATGGGAGGGGGGTGAGGGAAGGCTCTCAGGGCACAAAACGTCTAAACTGAGCACTGAAGTTCAAATAGTTTGCAGACAAAGAGAGGGAGAGGACAGCAAGAACATGGGTGGGGAGGCAGGAGACAGCAGGTGCCTGAAAGCCAACACATACCTCTGCATAGTCTCAGAAAACAGAGTGGAGGAGAGAGAGGCAGGAGATAAGGGGCTGAGAGGAGCTGGAGCCTGGAGGAGTTTGCATGCCAGGCTGAGATGCTGAGACGTGATCCAAGGACGGGAACGAGAAAGCCAGAAAGGGTTTGAGCAGGAAGTCGCTGTCCCACGTCACCACCCGAGATTTTAGAAAGGTGGGTGCCTGCGAACAGACCAGGGGCACGGGGGTAGGGAGGAAGCTGGGCACCATTCCAGGAGAGGAAGGATGACCCCCACTGGGGCAACACGGGGGTAAGAAATGTTGCCACTCTTGGAATGATGAAATCAGAGACTCTGAAGTTGGCTGTCTTGGAGGCACCAAGCACCATCCATGACTTTTGCAAGAACTGCCTTAAAAGTCGGGGATGACATCCTCCCAAGTCTCATAGCAGGTGAGCCTAGAGCTCCGAACTGGAATCAAGATCCTCCTATTCTGGACCCCAAGTCACTCCATAACCCCATTCTGTATCCCAATCCCCACAATTCAATCACTAATAACAATTACAAGAATAATCATAATTACTATGATCTAATAACAGAGCCCTTGCTGTAGGCTAGGCTCAGTGCTCAGCTCATTACATGACACATCTCATTAAATCCTCCCAAAATTCCAAAGGGTCAGAATTTCCCATTTCCAGACGAGAAACCTTAGGATGAGGGCATCGAACAACTTGAAGTGGGCCTCAGCACCTGTCTTAGTCGGCTCAGGCTGCTGTAATGAACACAGGCTGGAGCTGAACCGACGTGCACTCATGTCTCACTGTTCCAGGGCCTGGACATCCTCAAGCCCAAGCTGCTGGCAGGTTCAGTCCTCGGTGAGGCTCTGTCTTCTCCCTGTGTGTTCACATGGCCTCTGTTTTGTGTGTGCGACAGAGAGATAGTGAAAGAAACAATCCCATCACGGGGCCCCACCCTCGTGACCTCATCTAAACCTATTTACCTTCAACCCCAGAAACCACCACGACAGGGCTGTGGATGTCCAGGGAGCAAGCACGGAGTCCCTAAAGGCACCCTCCTCAGGGAAAGCTGCAGCTCCTTGGAGCATCGGGCTGCGGGTTAATGACATAGGGCGCTCGAGCGCCTAGCACAGTGCCTGGCACCTAGAATGCTCTCAGGAAATGAGATTGACAAGACAATAGTGACAGTGGTGACAACGATGACCATGGAAAGAGTCCTCTCTGAACCCTTGCTTTGATGCTGCTGTGTTACTTTCAACAAATGACTGAGC